AGATCAATTAATAATATTTAATTTTAATTTCTTATTTACATGGGAAGACGAAGATCAATGGAGGAGAAAATGGAGAAGGAGAAGGAGAACGAGAACGAGAAGAAGTAGAAGTATATGAACCTGAGCTTCTTCAGCTGTTTTCTGAGGAAGATGAGGTAATTAATTAATAACACTCAAAATTCGTGTTCAAGAACGCCTTTTTATGTTATATTAATTTTGAAAAGTATAGAGAATTTGAAGTCTATGTTTGGATTAATTTGAGGTGCATGTATAGATTAAGGTGTTTTTCGAAAGATTGGACGAGGAAATGAAAAAGGTGAACGAGTTTTACAAGACTACAGAAAAAGAATTCTTGGAAAGAGGGGATATTTGGATTAAACAGCTTCAAATTCTTTTGGATCTCAAGCGGGTTCTCACTGATCGACGTCGGAGAAATGTTAGTTATATGGGTTCCGGGTTTTTTTCTCGGTCTAATTCATCGTCTGGCCGGAACTCCGATTACTCTGGTGAGTTACTATGTTTTTTGATACCTTACAGATCGTCGTAAATATTATGGGATTAATTATTTTACTTTAGACTTTCACAAAAGAAAAAATGAGACACAAATATTGGATTACCATGACGTTTCATGTCGCTCCACTTTGAAAAAACTTACTCAATCTGAATAATGCTATTTATAGTGAGGATTAACGGTAGTTATCCTATGTGACTAGTTGCTACATGATTGCCACGTGAGACTACTATTGGTAGTCCACGATATGAAGAGTATTACTCAATCTGTTAAATTTGATATCTTCTAAAATTTGATAAACGTTAAGGATATTTTCTAGGAAGTCACACTTCTTAAGGAAATAGTATGGTACTGCATCAAATAATAAATTGTCACATGTATGTCATATAGGACAATTACCGATAATCCCCACCGTGAATAGCATTACTCAATCTAATATGTAAAATTTGATATCCTCCGAAATCTTCCGAAATTAGAACAACGTTAATATAATGAAAAATGTTTCTAGGAAGTCGCAATTATTAAGGAAATAGTATGCTTCTCAATTTCAAATGATGCCATCTCATAGATTCTTATATGCACGTGTGTGTAGAAAGCCAGAGTGACTATTTTGATAGCCCATCGGGAAGCCAAAGGGAAGATGTTATTGCAGCATTAGAGAAAAATGGCGTAAATTTCGTTAAATCTGCAACCCTTGGGAAAACAAAGAATGGGAAGCCTAACATGGCCAAGAGAATAGATATTCCGGCCACGACCCCGGCCCGAACCATATCGACCGTCGCATCAATGCTATGGGAGGATTTAGTCAACAATCCGAAGAAGGAGGGAGGCAGGGGCGGAGAATTTATCAATCGAAAGAGAATACAGTGTGCCGAAAAGAAGATAAGAGGTGCTTTCGTCGAACTATATAGAGGCCTTGGCTTACTTAAAACATACAGGTAAAATTTCTTTGATTAAACCAACCTTAATTTGTTTACATGTTCTAATGGTTTTACATTTTTTTGGGCAGCTCACTTAATATGAAGGCTTTTACGAAGATACTGAAGAAATTCGACAAGGTAATTTTGAAACGTGACATTACTTGTTGCTTACTGACTGTAAACTCTTAATCCATAGTTTATTTATTCATTTAGCAAAAAGAAGTAATTTTTTTGAATTGGAAAATACCTGCAAAAATTTTCTTTGACAGTGTCGTCGCAAGAAATTATTTTTCTTGGATTATTCGTAAACATAGAGAAATTTGGATGCCGTTTTCATTAGGAAGCCACGAAGAGACACATGAAAACCACCACCAACGCGATTTTAACGATTAGGACACGTCAAATATAAATAGAGACACATGATAAAATTTTCCATTTTTTTCAAACTTTTTATTTTATTTTATCTAGTCAAATAGAGCGTACCAAACACGCACCAATAAGTATTAACTTTGCTTACATGAAAAAAATAATAATAATAATAGTTATTTGAGTTAATTTATTAACTCAAAATGTTATTCTTGAATTTAATTTTCTTCATTTCATTTCATATATAGGTATCAAACAGGCAGGCATCTGCAAGTTACCTCAAAGATGTGAAATCGTCTCATTTCATTAGTTCTGATAAGGTAAGAATTAATTTTTGTCTGGTTCTATTGATTGACACGACCAAAATAATAGTACCATTATAATTATAATTGGAATCTATAACTTGTTTCGATTCAAAACGTTGATCCCAGTGTAGGTTTGTGCATATTTGGGGGCTATTGATTGACACCGAAACAACTAGAATAATATTACAACTATAATGTTGATTCGACTGTCTAAATTGTTTCGATTTCAACGCATTTCCATAGACGTAGGTTCAAGTATGACGAAACTTTTGATAAAAAAATTTAGCTGAATTCGATACAAATTGATATACTGCGGGTTGAAAAGTTGATTAAAGTTATGGGTTTCATAAAATGGTTGATAAAATAAAATTTTATGAAAAAAGCACTGAGGTTCTGTATTACTTTATTTATTTGTTTATTGCATTTAAAAAAAAAGAGATAATTTTTAAAAAGAACAGTGTTGTGCAATTAAAGGTGGTAAGGCTAATGGACGAAGTGGAGTCCTTATTCACACAGCACTTCGCCAACAATGACAGGAAGAAGGCAATGAAATTTTTAAGACCCCAACAGCACAAAGATTCTCACGTTCTCACTTTTTTCGTTGGTAATTTTCTCTCATTCGTCGTTTCAGAGTATATTTGATACAGTGTTATACTATATAGAAAAATGATGAATAATTACACTTTTTTTCTTAATCTTAATTAATTTTGTCCCATTTGCTGAAAAGATATATCTAATACGTTGAACTGACATATTTTTGTTGTGACCTCTTGTAGGTTTATTCACAGGTAGCTTTGCGACGTTGTTCAGTGTGTATGCAATCTTGGCGCATTTGAGCGGCATGTTCACTTCTAGAGCTGATGCCGGTTATATGGAAACTGTCTATCCGATTTTTAGGTAATCTTTTCTACAATATCTCGGTTTTAGCTTCCTTCTTCACATGCTAGTGAAGTTCATGTCCGGTCGCACTAAGTGGTTAAAGCTCTCTATAAGCTTGATACAACTCACACTTTATGACCGGAAATGTGAAATTTTTTTGTGCAATTTCGATATAATTTCAATCCGGTTCGCGAATGATAGAATAATCCATCAAACGAAGGACAAAATGGGACCATGTGATAAATAATTCTAAATGGGTTAAACTAACCATTTTTGCACTACCTTGTAAGAAGATTAAATTGTCACAGATAACACTAAATGGGTGTCAAATAACGATTAAGGGACTAATTATTTGTATTTTAAATCTTGTCACTCACAAGCGCAATGCATAAATAAGCACGGGGTCGATGCCTAGTAAATTATATAGCTAGTCCTCTTGCCTATTCTTGGTTAGATGGTAATATTGGTCCGATCCTCCCTCACCCGGTGTTGCTTTGCAACATTCGGGATGGGGATGGGGATCGGGATGGGGATAGGGATTCGGAATTCTCATGGAATCGGGGCCAGGATGGGGAACATGGTTCCTGCTCACACTCTTATTTTTTATTTCATTTTAATTTTTATGTTTTTAAATTTAAATATTTTTTAAAAGATAAAAAATAATTAAGTGGGGAATAGGGCTGAGAAAATTAGAATGAATTCCCAGTGGGATAGGAGATGGGAGGGTCGTCCTAGGCCCAGCCCAACTGTTGCCATCGCTATTCATGGTTGCACTAATGAGATTGAAGTTGCATTTACATAGAGGTGAAAAATAGTTAAAAATTCTATGTGGGCTAGCCTATTGGTCCCTGCTAAACACAGGACATGCTGCCCTTGGCTATGATGGTACAGCTATTTGATCAACTCGAAGTCCAACCAAATTTAACATTTTTGGGAGTGGGGTGGGGCAGGGATATCGATGACGATGACAATGGAGATGGTGATACGATGGAGCAGGTCAGTCCTTCCCATCCCCCGTCGTATTAGAGATTTCTAAGAGGCAGAGCCGGAACATAGTATAAGGGAGAACTAAACTTCATCTTTCATCAATTCACGAACCTTGGACGCTTATGTCAACGGACTCAACAAAACGTGTGACAAATTTTTATACGTCTCTTTTTAATTTAGTAGGGTACAATTTTATCCAGCATCAAGTCCAAAACGTGCAAAAAAGGAACAAATTCTATCCCTTTGAGGGCTTGTACCTTTGATTCTAGTCTCATATTTAAATAAAAATGTAAATGGGTTCTAAATAATGCTTAATTTAACTCGTATATTCTTCGAGTTGAAAATAAGTTAACCATATCACAGTAATTCTAGTCGAACTTCGATAGCTAGAGCCACAGGAGTTTTTGAATTAGTAAATGTGATCAATTTTAGGCAATTTATACTCTCAAGTCATAGAATCAAGTATATATGAGAAAATTGCAATAATTTATCTCTAATCAGTTTATCATATACTTGTTTGTTTCCATTTCTACTGCCAAATTTGTGTATGTTATAACTGACACTAACAGTATGCTAAATCAATACATGTGCAGCATGTTTGCATTGCTATGCTTGCACTTGTTTATGTATGGATGCAATCTGTTAACGTGGAAGAGCGCAAGAATAAATTACAACTTCATATTCGAATTCCAACCCAAAACGGCTCTCAAATACAGAGACGCTTTCCTCATTTGTACCTCTTTGATGACGGCAGTGGTTGGGGCTCTGATCATCCACCTAATCTTAATCTCCCAAGGCTTCTCACCCCGTCAAGTTGACATGATTCCGGGAATTCTCCTACTGGTTAGTAACCTCCATAATTGCATTCGGTACGATCAAAGAAAAAGAATTAAGTTAATTTTAATGTACATTAATATGCAATACTATGTATCAAATGTGCCCTTGTCTATTTTTTTACGACTGTATTTCAGTTTTTCATCGGGCTACTCATATGTCCGTTAAACATCTTCTATCGTCCAACTCGCTACTCGTTCATCAAGGTCCTACGCAACATAGTCTGCTCTCCATTTTACAAGGTGCTTCTAAATATTAATTTTAAGCATATAAACTAAGCCTGTTTGATGTAGATTTTTTTAAAATAAATATTGTGATATTTTTGGAGGATGGAAGGTCAAATATAGGGAAAAGTTATGGTGCACATACAAAACTATTTTATTGGGAGAATGAGTAGTTAAAAATGAGTTTGGAGAAAAATGAGTTTTAAAGATTCTCTATCAAACATGGGTATATCACATCTTCTATAAATAACGATTTTTCGTGTCTGCAGGTTTTGATGGTAGACTTTTTCATGGCTGATCAACTTACTAGCCAGGTAGCCATAATTGATACAACTTGTTTATACTATTTTTGGATGAAAATCGTTTTTCCTATAGGAAAATGAACATATTACTCCTTAGACCACAATTGTCGCCATAGACTCACGAGTCTGTGATTTAAAAACTGTCCTTTTCTTGCATTGGATTTGTTCAACAGATACCATTATTAAGGCACATGGAATCGGCGTCCTGCTACTTTCTCGCCGGAAGTTTTAAAACGCACAGTTATGAGATGTGCAAGTCTGCAAAGTTATACAAGGAGCTTGCTTATGTAATCTCCTTTGCACCGTACTACTGGCGTGCAATGCAGGTAATTTTATAGTCGTATTTGCTAGTTTTCTCACTCCGACATCAAATGAAGATTGGTTTATCCATACCCGTTGAATATGTTCCCTATGGTTATCTACGAGTTGCATAATAAAATGCATATCCCTCTTCTTAATAGGATGTTAACACAATTTCTTATTCAAATACTAGTGTGCAAGACGTTGGTTTGATGAATGTAACCCAGAGCAGCTGGCTAACCTCGGGAAGTATGTCTCTGCAATGGTGGCAGCCGGGGCACGGTTAACCTATGACAGGCAGCCCACACAATTTTGGTTGGTCATCGTTTTGTTGACATCGTTGGTAGCCACAGTTTATCAGTTGTATTGGGATTTTGTTAAAGACTGGGGACTTCTTAAGCCAAAATCCAAAAATCCATGGCTTAGAGATGATCTTGTATTGAAGAATAAAAGCATCTATTATGTATCCATTGTGAGTTCTCTTCCCTAGTTTCTCTTCAACTACTTCGGCTAGAATACAAGTAACCTTTTGGGCATGTTTGGTACACAGTCAAATCCCAACATGCCCATGTTTTTGTCTTGAATGCTCAGTTCATATGAATTTTCACCTCTCTAAACAAAGAATATTTCAATTTCAGGCCTTGAATATTGTCTTGAGAGTAGCATGGGTGGAGACTGTGATGAGATTCAAATCTGGAATGTTAGAGTCACGACTACTCGAGTTTTTCCTGGCTTCATTGGAGGTCATCCGACGCGGACACTGGAACTTCTATAGGTACTACCTTCCTCCTTTTCCAGGTTGCGATAAAGAAGTAATTATATATTTCAATTTTAAGATGTTCATATGATCATAAAAAGTTCGGGTTTTCCTTAAACTTCAAATTTTTAACTCCATTGCTATTAAACTAATAGATTGAAGCATATAACCAGACAATTATGAGCATTAGCTCTTTAACTTTACATGTATGATTGAACAGATTGGAAAATGAGCATCTGAAAAATGTTGGAAAGTTTACGGCAGTGAAAATAGTTCCATTACCATTCCGTGAGACGGATTCTGACGGTTGAAAGTTATGTTGATACTTGTACGAGTGCAAGACATTTCGGCAAATTTATTCAATGGATTGGTAACTTATTGGCGCATTGAAAATCCGAAATTCATCAAGCATTTAACCATAAAATGAGCCGTAAGGCATGTTAAAGAACTCTCGAGGATAGCACTGGGCTATTTCTATACTACAATGGGAAAATTTAACTAGAATTTGGTTGCGTAAATGTACTTTCAGTGTTTGGACTACATTTATTTTTGTCAAAATAATTTATTATAATTGCAACGGGAGTCATCTGTACTAGAAGAAATTTTGTACATTGTATTTACACAATGGTGGCAATGAAAGTAACTTATCTCATTGATTCTCATGTTTTTTTTTTCCCCCCCTTTTGGGGGTTTTTTTTTTTTTTTTTTTTTTTCCCCAAAATCTAGAATGCTTAAGGGTTATTCGGACTATTTAAATACAATTAGAGTTTAATAACTTAGGAGGATTTGAAAGCAAAGCAAAAGTATTGTTTTTTAAGGTAAATCAGCACAAACAACAAGCAAAATAGAACGAGGCAAAAAACAAGTGAAGGATGCAAGGTGTATGGGCCACTATGTTCCCATTTCTGGGAGGGTTATGTTATCTGTACATTATGATGTCCATAATGTACAAGTAGTATAACATCATCGGATAGTTGAAAAATAATTTTTTCAACCCTCCAATCATGAAATTTCACATATACATTATGGACACCTTTATGGATGCTATAATATACATGTAGAATCATCCTTTCTGGGAACAAAGTGGCAAGTACCACAGCCTACATCCGAAGTAAGAGCTACCATATCACTTAGAATCGAAGCATTTGCCATATGGTTAAAATCAGAAAATAAGGGATAGCATATTAGCCAAACAGAATCATATGAGGAGTCGAAAAATTTTAAGGGAAATTTACCCCTCTTTTGAAATTCCAATTTCAAAAATCATGTTTTAATTATTCTTTTTCAACATTCAGGTTATAATTAATTTTTCAAAACAATACATAACCCATTAACACAATGCCTACTCTAATCTGTCAAAATATCTCTCTTTAAAAAGGTTCTTCATTCCACCATACCCATCACCCACCCAAATCCGGAGGATTCTCTCCATCTTCACCCCCACTCCCATATCTCATTCCTCCACCACCATCCCCATAATCCATATATAACGGTATCCCCACCTCGACGTCGTTATTCTTCACATTAAGCGAATTTTGAGATCATAATAAATATTCTTCGAAGTTTCCTCCATGATTATAAATCCAACAATAATAAAAAGTAAAGAAGAAGAAAAAGTATGATGTAGCATATTCGCATTAGGTGTTGATATTGATGCCATCACCTCCAACAAATTGAAGTTATTAGAGTCGATTTTTATTTTATTTTTTGGAAATTCACTTAGATTTTTCTCTAAAACAATTCTGCAATTGAAGGGCAACCTAACGCAGATCTTGTTCTTAATAATTTACTTAATTCATTTACTTGCTCATTTAAATATTAATTATAATTATTTTCTTGCTTGATTTCGTTCATTGAATCAATTGCCTTACAAGTAACAACGTGGTAGTACCTTTTCTGATTTATTTTAACCATGCGGTGCATGACAACCAAAAATCGATATTGGGGGTTGGGGTTTTAATAATATTTTAACGCGGAAATACTAGGTCTCAGAGAGGTCAAAATTTGTTTAAGATGATTCATCGTCATGGTGGGCAACCAATTCAATGTGAAAGTCCTATTTGTTCATATGAAATGCAAATAAGATGTGGTATTCTGCCTTAGAATTTAGATTGGGAATTCACTTAAAAGGTCAATTTATAACTATGTTCTCATGGTTATAGTAGTTTGTACCTAATAGAAATGTTGTGGTTTTTGCTAAGGGAATAAATTGGTGATGGTAACAGTGGTGGAATGGGGTGGGTGTGGGTGACCAATTATTGGGTAATTGTTACCTAAAAATTGTGTGACTTGTAATTAAATTTGTAACCGTGGCTTACAATTTGTATATTTATGATTGATAAATAAGTTATGATCAATTAATTTGATAATTTGTGACTATGAAATAAGTTGTCGTCAATTAATTTTTTATCGATATATAAATTGTAATCAATTAATTTAAAAATTTATAATCGATAAATTAGTTGTGACCTATAAAAATGTAAGTTTTGTAGAGTCGGATATTGTTCGCTAAAATATTACACTGTAAGTGCACAGGTCGCATTCAAGTAATAAAGCGACCTTTTGAGTCCGGATTGTCGATCCCTCGATGAATGCTTACTTTCGATTACAGAACCTTAATTGATTTAATTCTAACAATAAAAATAAACACACAATAAAATTACGATTTTGAAAAATAATTAAAAATCTAGAAAATATGAAAATCTTGGGAATTTTCAGAAGCAAACGTGATTGAGATTCATGGTTTCATTTAATTGTCACCTAATTAATTTCTCCACAAGCCAATTAAAAAAACACTCATTTACGATGTTAGACCTATTTTTCAATTTTAGTTAATTACTTCTCTCGAATGAAATTAACTCTAATTGATTGGTTTAATATACTATATCTCTATGTCAATTAAAATCAAACAATTGCATTAAATATTTGTGAAAATAGCTCATTGGGTCATCTAGGGTTAGTGATATATCTCTCTCCCCTACATAAATCTAGGATTTATGCTATTTGGTCTAAAATGCACAATATTCTCTCGAATGATGTACAAATCACTAAACACGATCATTCATTGGCTGCATATATGAAAATGCATGAATACAATAGAGAGTGAGTTTAACTCTCAAAATTTGGAGAGCTAAATCCACTCTTTATGTTAAAAAGTTAAAATAGAAAGTTTCTAATAACTTATTTTAATACATTAACACTCTAAAGTAAACATCATTTTGCAACATCTTCAAAAGACTTTTTAAATATAAGATACTCTCTATTTGAAGAAATCAAACCTTAAAATTATACTCAAAGAGACTCCTTAAAATTAATATTTAAAAATAGAGAGTGTATTTGACTCTCCAAATTTAGAAAGCAAACATATTTTACAATTAAATGCATTCAGAGTATTTCAATTTTTAATGGATGAGAATTATATAATAATTTGGATGAGAACTATTAAAAATAAAAGATGGAAAATAATAAATATTTTTTGGAGTAGTAAAATTAAATGCTAAAGATAAAAAGTTTGTTGGAGCACATACAAATTTTACTCTTTAAATTTATAGAAGTTTTCTAAATTGCAAAATACACTTTTTAAAAATAAAGAGTCTTTTAGATTTAATAACTCGTAAATTACCCAAAAATGGAATAATAATAATATTTAACATCACTAGTATTACAATACCAATTTAAGTGAAATTAAGTATATAATTAAATGGATTACATAATTTTACATTTAATTCAACAAAACATACAATGTTATTGTTTTGTAAACTCGTGCTCTAAGATCATTGGTTGACTTATTCAAAATGGAATATGAAGAGCATCTCTTGGATTCAAATGCCTATTGAATTGACCAGATAACATGGATATTTTGAATCCACATGGGCACCATTTAAGACCGTCAACTGAGTTGGGTCCATGAAATTCCACAAAACGTCCCTCACCACTCACTCAAGAAAAGAAACGAACTTCCGTTTTGCTGAATGAAATATCAGTTGTAGGGAGATACATACTCTGCAAAAAGTCATGGCCTCCTCCGTGCTTAATTTTACCCGTCCACTCTCTCACATTCAATCTATACCATCACAACCCTTAATTTCACCAATAAATTATGGTTCGATTAATTTATGTTCTTTTCACACCACAAGGAGAAACTGCAATTTCAAGAAAATGGGTATTTGCAGGTCATCTTCTAGTGAAGTCACATTCATTGAACCTCCTGAAACTCAACAATCAAAAGATGAGCTTATTGGGTCCTTGAAGCTCAAATTATTGGTATGACAAAGACCTGGTTTTTCTTCTTTAATCTTTTTGAGTTTTGATGTTGTTGGTTTTTTTTTATTTTTCTTTTTTCTTTTTCTATGGGGGTATTTCAATAATTGCTTGTGGGCATTCTTGAATAATACAAAATTTTTGTTAGATATTCTGTTAATTTCTCTAGTTATTGGTGAAATCTGTTTGTTTCTTCTTGGATTAGTTGATTTTATGATTATTTTCCATAAATGTGATGGAAATTTTGCAGCTAAATTTCTTATATTAATTCTTATTATTTAGTGCTATGTCTTAGAATAGGGGATAGTGCACCGAAGTTGACATAATTTCGTTTTGGTTGTGGTTGCTAATGATTCAGTTGTTTTGGACCTTCCGGTAGATGTAATAATGAACAAGTAGAGTGTAAAAAATGGATTCGAAGTGTGTTGGGGTTGTAGGAGATTATAGTTAATTATTGTCGGTAAAGACCAACAAAATTTGGTCGAAGATGACAAATGCTATTGTGCTACAACTTAGTGTTTCTTTTGGTTATAATTGAAGTAAACACTACAACTTATTGTTTCTATGATCAAGCAAGCATACGCTTTTTCACAGAGCGGTGTTTCTTTTGGTTATAATTGAAGTAAACACTATAGTATGGTGCCTCAATTTGACAAATTCAGAAAAGTGGGATGAGCAAGAGATACATGTAGAATCAGCAAGATGGATAAACTTGTATGGCATATTTAGTTCGGTACAAGATACAACTGAACTGTATCATAAAAGGACAAGATTGGATTTTATAATCTACTTTACCAAACTTGTCACTAGATTATATCACTTCATTTCAGAAGTAGGGACCTAGTTGAAACGTTTGCCAACTACAGAGAATAAGGCCAATAATTTGACCACCATGAAGCAATAATTAGGATGCCCTCCATTGGTGCATCAACTTAGATAGGTATTAATGTATCTTATGTACCTTTTCAGTGCGAATCAATTGAACATGAGTCAAGATGTAGGGTAGCCGGGCTATGATGCATCAACACGTTGATTAAATTCTTTAAAAATCTTCATTTATATAGTACAAATTTAGTTTTATATTTGGTATTAACTATTCTTGCTAAAATCTTTTAAATACGGGTATCTATTTGTTATTTAATAAGAACGAAAAATGAACATAGTAGAGTGTTCGAGGAGTGTCAATATCCAACACGTGTCCGATATGTGTTGGACACAGACACAAACAAGATACCACTCTAGTTGAAATGTTCGTGCAACATAGTAGTTGAGTAATGAAATTTTGTGTTACGGTCAATTTGTAATCTGAGATTTGATGACATTTCTTGATGGATGGAAGGTGTTTTTGAGTTTGGCCAATGGTCCTCACTCCTCAGTTTGCTGTCTATGCACTTCCTTTGCATGATTTCAATATCATTTTGTTTATTACTGCTCCCATAAAAAGGGATTAGGTGTTGACTCCTAACAGAAAGTATCAAGAAGGGTCAACTACTCTCGATTGTAGAACTCAATTTTTGATCGCTCTCTATATTAATTATTTTCCATCAAATCATGGGGGATTGTCAATTTCAGAGTGCAGTTTCTGGGTTAAATAGAGGTCTTGCTGCAAATGAAGATGATAAACGCAAAGCTGAAGATGCCGCAAAGGAACTTGAATCAACTTCAGGTCCAGTAGATCTTTCAGCTGATCTCGATCAATTGCAAGGCAGATGGAAATTGATTTATAGCAGTGCATTTTCTTCTCGGACTCTTGGTGGGAGCCGTCCCGGGCTACCCACTGGAAGACTTCTTCCCATAAATCTTGGCCAGGTACACTAGAGTACCATGTTATATGACTTTATTGTCACCGTCTTCTGGTTGTCATATTTGAGTATGTGTAAATTGATGTGCTTGAAAAATGCCATTTTAAGTATCGAGAATTGAAGACGTTTTGGGAGTCTCTTAGGTACCTTGGCAAAAGGATTGACATCTTTAGCAAAGATTTTGACAACATAGCAGAGCTTGAATTAGGTGCTCCATGGCCTTTTCCACCTGTTGAAGTAACTGCCACTTTGGCCCACAAATTTGAAATTATAGGTTAGTAACTTTTGGGGGGCCATTTGGATTGAATCTTTCCCTCTCCTAAAATTATTCCTAAAAATTCAATTTTTTGTTTATTTATTTACATCTTCTTTTTACTTATAACTAAACCATTTTCTATAAATTTATTCAAGATTATCTCTAGATGTTTCATGGCTGCGGTTTCTGATATACTTCTTTCATAATCAATCTGTCTAATTTTTATTTTAATATTCGTCCAGATTATTTAGTTAGAACAAAGAATTTCTATAAAGATGTTAAAATAGGAATAAAAAGCAAAGGATATCAAATGAAAAAGAAATTAATTTCGAAGACAAGGTCTTTTTAAAATATTTTTAATACGTTTGAAAAGTTTGAAAAAATTCTACACTAATTTATATTATCTTTGCTACTAAAGTTCATCGTATTTGGGACCATGTCTAAGGAAGTATCTGTTTTCATTGTGATAGTAACTTAAAATTTGAGCAAAATCTATAATTTTCTGTAGAGCTTTTGCTACTATTTCTTGTAGAAATATTTTCTGACAAAGCTACCTTAATTTTTGTTTTGAAACCAATTTCCAAAAGAATTTTTTCTTCCGGAAGAGCTTTTAGATGAAGCCACATTGGACCAACTTCATCTAAAAGCTCTTCTAACTAAAAGAGACTCTTTTATAAAAATAACCAAACAGGTCCAAAATTAGTTTTTGAATCTTAAAAGCCATGCCAAATAGATCCATTTATTTTTTATTTTTCAGTTCAGAGACTTCTTTTAACCTTTTCCTTATTTTTCGGTGATAAAATTACAATTTTTCTTGATGAATGTTCATCTAATTTTTGAACAGAAAGTTGCAAAATCAAGATAACATTCGAAAAAACAACTGTGAAGACAACTGGAAACTTATCACAACTTCCACCACCTGTAGAGCTTTTGCTACTATTTCTTGTAGAAATATTTTCTGATAAAGCTACCTTAATTTTTGTTTTGAAACCAATTTCCAAAAGAATTTTTTCTTCCGGAAGAGCTTTTAGATGAAGCCACATTGGACCAACTTCATCTAAAAGCTCTTCTAACTAAAAGAGACTCTTTTATAAAAATAACCAAACAGGTCCAAAATTAGTTTTTGAATCTTAAAAGCCATGCCAAATAGATCCATTTATTTTTTATTTTTCAGTTCAGAGACTTCTTTTAACCTTTTCCTTATTTTTCGGTGATAAAATTACAATTTTTCTTGATGAATGTTCATCTAATTTTTGAACAGAAAGTTGCAAAATCAAGATAACATTCGAAAAAACAACTGTGAAGACAACTGGAAACTTATCACAACTTCCACCATTGGATATACCCCGTTTACCAGATGGATTAAGGCCGCCATCTAATCCAGGAACTGGTGAATTTGAAGTTACATACCTCGACTCAGACACGCGTGTCACCAGGGGAGACCGGGAAGAGCTAAGGGTTTTCGTTATCTCGTGAGGTAACCTTAGTTTATTGTTGGTGTATAGTTTTATGTCAATCAATTTTGGTGCTGGAGCCTCTATTCGATTGTTTGTTATTTTTAGACCATTCTGAATTGAGATGTACAATAGAACACAGTTCTGAAGGCAATTAAGTTTCCATATTGTATATCCTTTACAATATCTCATTATCGTTAATGCGGTTATACTACATGTATATAATAGGTTTACGTAACGGTTTATATACACATAATGTGATGAAATATGATTGAATCAGAATTTCTTAAAAAAAAAATTCACTCTCTTTTTTCACGCATCATCTGTATGCAAACTATTATGAAACTATTTATGTACTTATAGATTATTCTTGTTAATGAATGTTTTGCCATACATTTGGCAAATTAAGCCATGATCAATGTTTGATAATGTAACTACTAGAATACTTGAGCAAAATGGTGCAACAAAGTAGAGAGAAAACACATGATTGTCCCAATATTCATTATCCCTAGAGTTGTACAAAGATTGTTATAACAAATTTAATAGAAACTATTACGCACCTTTCTTTCAATGCTGGGTCAGGATAGCAGGGGTGAATTTTTGTACCTGGCTTGACAATTTCGCTGTTTAGCCTCCAGCGTAGAATAAACCTCGACGCTGAACTTATTTGGGATCTGAACAAATGATTGAGCTGTTTACAAATAAAAAAAATTGTTCATTTCCATTCAGGAGCTTTCATAATGTCCAATCCTACACCTCTGCATCTCCAAAACTATGTAGCAATCAATAGAGAAGTTAAAGATGTAGAGTATAATCACACTGTAAATTTTTCTATTTGACAGTGAAGCATAATCATATTGCAGAGTTATCCCTCCGACTGCAGTTTTTCAAAGGCAAGTTGTGTAAATCTTATGATCGTGTGCTCACTTTTGTCCCAAATTCTTATTCCTAGTAGCAAATTTTTGCTTGGTTAGGCCTTTTATCGCTTATAAGCAGTGAGTTTCAAGAAATATGTGGTTAAGAAGTAAATAAAAATTAATGGTTTCCAAGGATTATATGATTAAAATGATATTCGATCACAAACTTGTGGTTCTCTGCCATCACAAGTGAGAAATTTGTGAAAAAAAATTCCACATCGCCATAGATGTCAAAAATTGAGTCCCTAAAACCTCCATGAACTTTTATTGGTCCGGTATAAAGCTTAGTTTTACCATGGAAGTGTCAAAAAAGTATAAAATTATCAAAGTCTAAACCTCTAAATAAACTGATTCTGATATAATAAAAAATGCACCAGTATAATACCATGAAAGTTGAACTTGCAAGCCAACCATGCCTTCAATGACTTGCTGTAGGAATCATTGCAGGTATGTGATATAGACTAATCTTGTTGCTCAGCTAGATTGTGAAACAGGGAAACTAAAAAAATCCATTGCTCTGCAATGTATTAGAAATCAATATACCCATCACAACCAGCTTAACTTCGATTTAATAGTAAATCGACTTAATCGCACAATGATTATGCCAAAAAATAATGACTTCATTTTTCCTTTTTTAACCCATTGATTTTTGCAATATACGTTAGGTTCGATCCCGGTGGTATCAAAACATAAGGCTCATCAAGCCTAGAGTGACTCTGCCGGTTGAAACCCTGTATCGAAATAGCCCAGGTTGGACCTTACCATTTCACGAGTTGATCAGTTCTAATAAGTGGGTTGTCGTATCCATTGTTCATGATATCGGGCATGGATAAGGTATACCGAGGCGAATTTTATAAAGAAATTATCTACTCCATCCGATTAGTTCCAGGTTCGAATTCCGGACAATCCACTATCATATCAAAATTTTATGTATAGAAATTTGTATTTTCATTTTGCATTTTAGTCTTCTTATGCTGGAAGAAATGATTCATTGGGTTAATAAATCACCATTGATATAGGCGTATTTGAGATTGGTAAATGTTTGGGAGTTTCTGTCTTGTCAGATTGGATTTTCCAGGTCGGAGACCCAGAATGATCGGCCCAGTCGACTTGATTTATGGAAAAATAAAGAAATTATATATAATTAATATGACTAACAATTTGTTAAGACTTGAAGTTCCATTTTAAAAAGTCAACTTTATTAAGAGGAGTAGCCCAATACCTTATAAGTAGATCTTTGTTTACATCTTTATTTGATGTGGGATATTTTATCTCTTAACATACTCCTGCAAGATAGTGGCTCGTTTGAACAGACCAATTTTGAAATTCGTGTGCTTATTTTTAGAGTCTTAATCTGATCAAATTACTCGCTGGAGTTTAATGGCTTTGATACCATATTAAGTCTTGAGGTTCCATCTTAAAAATTCAACTTGTTAAATAGAGTAACCCAAGACCCTATAAATTTGTCTATATTTACATCTTTATTTGATGTGGGTTATTTTATCCATTAATGCAATAAACTATATAATTCTAAAACAAATCAATGAGAACATTCAGTTTTTTTGCCTCCTAATTATGGTTTGATTTTAAATTATATTAACTTTCCCAAAAATTAAAAAAAAAAAAAAAATCAACGAGCTAGCTTCGAAAATTGGTGGTGCATAGGCTAGTTCAACACAGGGGCGGGACTAGGATTGTTAAATCCTGTGGCAAAAGATGGGTTTACTGCAGTGTAGCAACAACCAATGGCTATACAAAGGTCGTATTTTAGTCTGTAAAGAGGAGGTTTTGAAATCCAGTGCAGGGCAGTTGACCTGAACTAAATCAGCCCCTGGTTCAATCAACTTCATCAGGACCCTCTCATTTTAGTCGTATTTATTTTCATGTTTTGCTTATGTCACACTCGAAAGTTCAAAGTTTACATTCATAATGTTAAATAGCATTGTTCCATGGTTTTGATTCTTTATATTAGTCTAAAATTCTGTAAGAACTTTTATGGTGTGCATGAATTCTATCTTGTAATGACAGTTTATGTTTTGCATCAGGCGTCGACCTGAACAAAGAACCCACAGTCGACCTTAAAAAGAAGTGAGATTTTATTTCATCATTCGTTATCCAAAACATCCTTGTACAATCAAAAACATCTTATGAAATTCTATCAGAACGTGACTTTGGGAGGGTATTTGATTGTATTTTTAACAATCTTTTTTGCAGCAGCATCACCAAGATCAATGCCACAAATATCAGCCAACCTGATGAGATAAAGAAGCACATCAGATAATTCTTCACCAAGATGCTCTTTATCTGATTCTTCCCAGTTCGGCAACCCTTTGTCAACCTCTCCCTTCCACTGAAATATCTCCGATAGCTCTCCTACTTCACCAACCTGTATTCATATATGCCATAAGATATAGTGATTAGGAAAACTCGTCCCAATGGTGGAGCAACTTAAAGGAATTTTATTGTACAAATATGTTCTTAATACTGATATCTGGCTCAATCTCCCACCTTTTTGTTTATTTATTATTATAAGAGAGATTCGGCATAGACCTGATAGACAAATTAAATAGAAAACTACGTATAAGGCATGCAACCATGCAAAGATAAATAAGCACTTGTGGAGGGTGCCAAATTATTTCTACTTAAAATCAAATAAAAGCAAATAAAAGAAGTTTTGTGGAAGCCTTAATCTAATATGCTTCCTTTGTGCATGAATGTCTCCATAGATTGAGTTATCAATTTGAAATCGACTTCTAAGGTGGGAAGTCCAAGTAGTTAATACTCACAGAGCAATGTTGGATGTGATTAGATATATTAAAATCTACCATTCCTTTCAGAACTAGGTTTTAGATCGACCCATATTCTCTGTTAGGTTCTATGCCAGCGTCTTCAACTATGTGATAACGACGTCATCTCTTATAACAGTTATTACAACTACGTGCATTTGGTAGGATTCATCCTTAAAACTAGCTTCGTAAACCACCAGTGCCAAGTAGTTATAAACTACCAACCGAGCTTTTATAAAGAAACGTAGGACATAATTAGAGTCGTTTGTTACACATTTAGCACAATAAACAAGCACTAAGAAATGAAATAATAAAAACATTACCATAGCGAGGAGTAAATTTCTAGGGCTATGGAACTTTTCCCAGCCTTTGCAAATTCTTCAAGTTTCTTTGACAGATCTTTCAAACTGATTTCCATTGCTTCTCCTTGCAAAATTTCTTCCATTGCTTCTCCAGGCAAAATTTCTTCTCCCATGGCTTTCGATACCGCTTCTTTTCACAGCCTTTATGCCTATGCAAGAGGAATTTAAAAGGCCAAGAAAGTTAAAACGAAATTCTTGAGGAATATTGCTATTAAAATTGCAACCATCAACGAGGATCTTGAAAGTGGGCAAAATTCCTTTAGCTGTACATAATTTGAAGTGATCTCAATAAAATAGATGAGGGTGCTACACAGTTGCCGGCCTACATAATACATATAGATGCAATAAAACAGATTCTCTTCCACCCCACCTTTACAATATAGCCAGCTTATCTTACTAATAATATAATTAAATTATGAGAATATTCTATTTTCCCTTTCATGAACCATCCATTAAAGCAATAGGAATTTTTGCTGAACTTTTACTTTAGTTTGACCTCTGTTAATATTATAATAATCAATATTACAATAATGTGAAAGTAAACTTGAAATAACTTATAAACGATTTATTTGGCACTTTGAACTTGAAATAACTCATAAACGATTTATTTGGCTCTTTGCATATTAACTCATGAAGTATGGTGAATAACATGTCATGTATCTTTTTATTGAATACATTCGCAGGAATAAATTGTTGAAAAAAATGAGTAAATGGCTCAATTTTGGCACAATTTTCGGTGGAATCCGTTGGTCCAATTTGGAAGATCAAAATTGATTTGTGTTCTCCTCCGCGAGAACAGTGAAATCATATATTTACTTGTTAAAAATGAAGCTCGAGTAAATGAGAAATTGAAGCTCAAAGTTGACCATTGAAAAATGATTTATGTGGGAAAAATGAGTTAATCGCACATAGGAAAATCATGAAAGCAAGAACCACTTTATATATGGTTACACATTGAAATGGTATAATCATGTGTAACATAGAAACTCTCTCCATGTGCTCGCACAGGGGGTGCATATCACAGACCGAAATAGCTTTCGGATCTTGAACTTGTGTGCGGACGCAACCTGCATACACGAATGTTGAACTGAACAGAGCAAAAATTAGCCCATTTGGAGTGTCCACATTTTGCAATTTTTTTGTTTTCTCCAACTGACTTTTGAGTTTCTGAAA